GATGGAGTGCTACCTGTTGGGGATTTACCTGTTCCTCGCGCTTGCCCTGCTGCCCCGGTCGAGCGGCACCACGGCCAAGGAGATCACCTGTCAGGAGATAGCCGTTCCTCTGTGCAAGGGCATCGGCTACAACTACACCTACATGCCGAACCAGTTCAACCACGACACGCAGGATGAAGCCGGCTTGGAGGTGCACCAGTTCTGGCCTCTGGTGGAGATCCAGTGCTCCCCGGATCTCAAGTTCTTCCTGTGCAGCATGTACACCCCCATATGCCTGGAGGACTATAAGAAACCCCTGCCGCCGTGCCGGAGCGTGTGCGAGCGAGCGAAGGCTGGTTGCGCCCCGCTCATGCGGCAGTACGGCTTCCCCTGGCCGGATCGGATGAAGTGCGATTCGCTGCCGGTGCAGGGCGCGCCAGACACGCTGTGCATGGACTACAACCGAACCGACTCCACCACAGTGTCGCCGGTGCTGTCCAAACCCACGAACTACCCGAGCAAAGCCATTAACCCACACAAAAAGAAAAGCGGGCGCGCTGGCGTCGGACCCAAAGCGACTAAACCCTGCGAGCCCGGCTGCCAGTGTCGCGCGCCGATGGTGGCGGTAAACAGCGACCGACACCCGCTGTACAACCGCGTGAAGACGGGTCAGATCCCCAACTGCGCCATGCCCTGCCACAACCCGTATTTCACCCAGGACGAGCGGACTTTCACGGCCTTCTGGATCGGACTTTGGTCGGTGTTGTGCTTCATATCCACCTTCGCCACCGTCGCCACCTTTCTAATCGACATGGAGCGGTTTAAATACCCCGAGCGCCCGATTATTTTCCTTTCGGCGTGCTACATGTTTGTGTCGATCGGGTACATCGTGCGATTGATCGCAGGGCACGAAAAAGTGGCCTGTAACCGGGAGTATGACGTGGAGCACATTCACTACGAAACCACCGGCCCCGCGCTGTGCACCGTTGTGTTTTTGCTGATTTATTTCTTCGGGATGGCCAGCTCGATATGGTGGGTCATCCTCTCGCTCACCTGGTTTCTCGCAGCGGGCATGAAGTGGGGCAACGAGGCCATCGCGGGGTACTCTCAGTACTTCCACCTGGCCGCTTGGCTCATCCCGTCCATGAAGTCCATCGCCGTGCTCGCGCTGAGCTCGGTGGACGGCGACCCGGTTGCGGGGATCTGCTACGTGGGCAACCAGAACTTGGACAACCTGCGGGGCTTCGTGCTGGCGCCGCTAGTGATCTACCTGTTCATCGGCACCATGTTTCTTTTGGCTGGATTTGTGTCGCTCTTTAGAATCAGAAGCGTCATTAAGCAAGGGGGCACTAAAACGGACAAACTGGAGAAGTTGATGATCCGAATCGGGATCTTCACGGTGCTCTACACGGTTCCCGCCACCATCATCGTGGCGTGTTACTTCTACGAGCAGCATAACAGACAGAGTTGGGAGATCACACACAACTGCTCGTGCTTATTAGAGCAGGAGATAAAGAGGCCGGACTACGCCGTCTTCATGCTCAAATACTTTATGTGCCTTCTGGTGGGCATCACCTCTGGAGTTTGGACCTGGTCCGGGAAGACCCTGGAGTCCTGGAGGAGTTTCTGCACGCGCTGCTGCTGGGGCAGTAAGGGCTCCGGTGGCTCCATGTACAGTGACGTCAGCACGGGATTAACGTGGAGGTCCGGTACCGCCAGCTCAGTGTCGTGCCCCAAACAGATGCCTTTGTCCCAGGTCTGAAACAAGAAAACCCTATTAATTGTTTGGGAGGGGGGTCTCTTTAGCCTTTCAGTCATTTGCATACAAATGAACTTGTTGATGGTTTCTATTAGCTGAAGAACTGGTTGAAACAATGCAGAAACAATTGCGTTTCGCTAATTCCATTCTATTGATATGGACATGACATGCAATCAGTCATTCTTAAGGAGAATTTGGGCATTATTGTTCCTAGTGGAGTAACACACGTCCCCAACTTGCAGCATTTGTCTCCTTTACACTCTCTTTTTTTCCGAGATTTACGCATTTCAATTAATAGTAAAAATCCATCCGATTGAAATATTCCTTACGTGAAGAATTGTGAAAAACTAGAGTTTAATAAAACATAATCTTAATGGGACATTTAGGCTATAGTTTATGTGATATTCACAAATAAAATAAATAATATGTAAGGACTAATCAATTCGATTGAATCTTACTAATAACAATCGAAATGAAAATCTTGAAAAAAAGGCGTAATATTTTTCGGAGTGTACTTTTACACGTTGTTGTAAGACAAGTTTTGAATTGTCTGAACAATCAAAGATGGTTTAAATAAGCCTTAATGTCTTAGTGCCCAATTGTTATTGTTGTTATTGTTATTATATACGGGTTGTTGTTTTTTTAATGCGAAATGTATTTATACAAACTTGTAAATGGTGTATAAAAGAAGATTTATAAATTTATTGTACATTTGTATATAGTGTAGATGCCACATGGAAAGCAAATATGCCTTTTATTTTGACAATAAAAACTTTTTGAGGAATCTGTGTTTCTGGAGTAATGAGTGCAACGCCGCATCTCTCCTGCATGCTCTTTGTGGTCATTCCCATTGAAGATGCTTTTGTGGAGAAACTCTTTTAGCGTTCTGAGGCCTAATTAGAGACAAGGGCCCTGTGCTGGAGAATCTCCGTAATTGTTGAACCCTTGCTACTTAATTTACTAAAAGAGGGCCGGGGACCGGGGGTTTAAATGCAGGAAACCGGGCCTTTTCATCTGGGGAAACTTTGATCTTTCTTTTAAAGTCTAGAATAAAGGTGCCATGTAGATAGAACCTTTAGACTGATGCGCCAAGATTTTTCATGTCTTAATTTGAGACCGTTGTCCTTTGATCGACGTTATAGAAATGATTTGAAGCTCGGGGCCCCAGCCGTGTTTTGTTAGAGAGTTTAATTTTATTTAACACTATCAAAACGTCCTTTTTGAACTTCAGCTGTGGTATTAATGGTAGTTAGACTCGCAGGGACGGTGAATGGAAACCTACAGGTGGTCCCTTGCGTAATCCACGGACCCTTTTTGTGGAGTGCAGTTTCTTAGACAAAGAATGACACAGAAAGTGTTGTAAAATGAAATGGTTTGTATAACTAGGAATGTTTTATTTCTCTGTATATAGCGAAATGTAAAAGGGTTGGTAACCAGCTTAAAACATTTCTCTAACTCAGCCTAACTCTAAGGCAACCAGAGTGCTTATTATAATAAAGCATTTACTTAATTAGACTGCAACAATCTATGATCTAATATATCCCAGGGCCTTAAATCAGTCAACAGTGATACTTTTCAATGAGTGTTTAGCTCAGACATGTCATAATGGCCTGGTTTCACAGACAGGGCTTAGATTAAGCCAGGATTAGGCCTTAGTTCAATTAGGATATTCAAGAAGCTTTTATCAACAGGTTTTGGGAAAACAACATTACTGGTGTGCATCTTGAGGCAAAACGATGTTTTTTTCAGAACAACTCAAACATGCGTTCAAACCTTGTCTGTGAAACCAGGGGTTCGAGTTGCAAGTCCTTTCCCCTTTCTTATCGCACATTGTTTAAAAACTCGATTATTTCCATCTTTATCTTTACACAAACAAAACAAACATTTTGTTGAATTCCTAGAACTTCAAAAAGAGAAGGTAAGAAATTATGGAAACAGACCAAGTTGTCGTTCATAAAAACAAGACATGGTTAGAACGCGTTTGAAAAACAGAGTGTGTTGCTGTGAATCTTCTCTGACAACTTTGACGACTTGTTTTGATGTACTGTGTCTCCACCTAGCGGCCAATGTTAAGAATCACTCAACAATGAAAATTGACATCATTTGGCTACTCACAAAGTTGTTCCAAACCTGTATGGATTTCTTTCTTCTGCTGAACGCAAAATGTATTTTGAAGAATGGTGGTAACCAAATTTTTGCTGCGAGTCCCCATTGACTTCTGTAGGTTTTTTTGTCTGCTATGGAAGTCAATGGGGACCAGCAACTGTCTTCAGCAGAAGACATGCATGTATAGAGGTTTGGAACAACTTTATAGTGAGAAAATGATGAAAACATTTTCATTTTTGGGTGATCGAACTACCCCATTTAGTTGTAAGATAGTATCCTCTTAAATTATGTAGCCTAGTGTTAGGCTTAACATTATCAGATTACTTCTTAAATCACATCAGTTTAACGATGTAAGTTCTAATGAACATTTCTACACATCCGAGAGTGGAATTACGTGCATTCTGTGTGTGTGCGTTCTGTGAAAAGCGAGGACATATTTACAGATGAATCAAATCTTCTGATCATATTTCAATGTGAATGTGTCGCTGACATAACATAAAAAGTTAACCATGAGAAAGTCTTGAAAAGTTATATTAAAGAAGGCAATTAGGCATATGCCTATATAGCCTTGTGTCATCACAAGCATTATTTAGCCTACTTTTGATTATTGTGGCGAGTTTATCAATATTATGAAAGTAAAACCATGAGACAACAACCATTTTTAGTAGAATGTGTAAACAGTTTTCTTTAGGCTACAGACAGAATTAAACCACTGAGAGGCAAATCCCTCCAGAAAGCGTTGCCGCTCAGAAAGTCAAACCCTCAGAAGTTCAATATTAGAAAGCTTTTACCAAATTGGTGACATGTCTAAACCAAATATAACTTAATAATCTTTAAAATGTGAATACAAACATTGTTATGTGCCATGCACATACAATTTTGACCCATTTAATTGACTAATTCCATAAATGAATCAATGAGTAAAACCATCCTCGATAATCAGAAACGACTGTGATTTGTCTTTACTCGATAGCGCTGAGAAAAGAAACAGAAAACACGTGACGACACCGTCTACGCGCTGCCACAGCAGATGTCTGAATTTTTATACCTGAATAGTGTGTCTTAAAATCTTTGATAGGGATTTAATTGATAATCCTCGGGGAAAAGTTAAAACAATAAAAGTATTATTTAAAACAGCCGTACCTGACCAAATAAAGACAACTTCCGGGACGCTGGATAACGCCCATTTTAGATCCTGGCTGCTTTCGATTCTAGTTAAACCTTTCAAAAAAAAAGAATTGAAGTCAGTGGAGTGCATTACCAACTCCTGCCAGCAGAGGGCGGTACGTCTCAGTGAAAACAGTACTGTGGAAGCTGCACACATGGGTGACAGTCAAGTTCCTTGGTTTCAAACCAATTTAGGACAAGATTTCACCTTTAATGTCATATCAAGAACAAACTCCAAAAACAACCTTCATTTTTTTTTTCTTTTTGAAAAACAAGTAAACAAAACAAAACAAGTTGTGCAATACAATGCATGAATGCCGTGACAATGTTATAACAGGCATTAGAGGCAATTCGCACATTAAAAAATGCCAGGAATTGGCAAATTGCAACAACCACCACAACAACAAAAGTTTTCAAAAAGCCTCAAGGGCCTTACATCACATAATTGTCATAGTCCTAAAAACAGCCGGGGTCCGGGTATCAGGAAAGTACCAATAAATTGCTGTAAGAGGTCAATTATATTTTATAATGTTACAGTATAGTTTTCAAAAAGCTTAGTTTACAAGCTTGACATATCATGTTGTAGTCAATATATACCCAGACAGCAAACTGACATTGAATCAACGTTGAAACGACGTCTCTCATGACATTGAAACAACGTTGATTTTGCTCATCGAATTAACGTTCAACCAACGTCAGACGCGGGATTCTTCAAAGCTTAATGAAAATCGAAAATTGGTTTGCTTTCATAACGTTGAAACAACACGTTGATTTTAAGTTGATTTTCCGTTAGTTTTGAAAGAATGACGTTGGTTCAACGTTAATTCGATGAGCAAAACTATGTCAGATCAACGTTGTTTCTATGTCATATTTCCACGTTGATTCAATGTCAGTTTGCTATCTGGGTAAACGTATTTAGCCTAATCCTGTTGATCATGTAATGCAATACATTGCTGTAAAAAAGCAAATTATATGTTTTAATGTTACAGTATAATTTTAGCTTGTTACACTTGGCCCATAGATACATGCAAGCCAAACATTTATACATTTGATTTATTCCCTGAGTCTACTATTGGGGTGTAGAATTTAGTAGGGACGCTATAGGGACGTGTCCCAACCAATATTCAGTGACACTGGTATATCCCTAGCAATAATTTCGACCAAAACTTAAAATATATTTATATACTGATGTCCCTGTCCCCACCAATTTCAAAATCAAACCTATGCCACTGCCTGAGTGTACTTTTGAAGCAGTCCATAATGCCTAGCAGCATCAGCGGTGTAAAGGAAACATAAATAGACAGGTCTATGGTGTGTTTAATAAGACACATGACTAACATTGTGAGGACAGAAGGACTGCGGTCTAGGTGACTGTCCAAAGCTAACACGTCCAATCGTTTGCATGTTGCGGCTAGCTTCTGACAGTCTGAAATGCGTGCATTGTCTTGCTCTCGTGTTACACCAGATTATGGAGCTCTATTTTAAGTGTTTGTTCTAAAGCTCCAAACCAAAGTCCAGCGGGTCCTTGAACTAGTTTTGCAAGCTACCTCCATAAATGCAAAAGCAGTCGGGGCAGTAATTGCTTTCTGATGGGGTGCTGTTGACTGAGACTTGACAGTCCCTGAGATTTTGCAGGCTAGAGGATTTTGGAAGCCCTTTAAGGCAGGTAGCACCTTCGAACCCTCAGGGTTGTTCTTTTTTGGTGGCCACCCCAGTTGAAGCAGAAAGTATGTCAGTTTTAGCTTTTCATCCTCACAGATCTTGGGTGGTTGCAACCAGACTTTTTTTAAGAATGGCCTTAGCTGTCTCCTGATTGTAGCAGGGTCAAGGCAGGTCAAGGGCTGTCTGGTTGGTGAAAGAAAGATCCAACACAAACATAAGAGAGGCAGGTGGATGCGGACAGGCGTAGTTGATCCAATGGTTGGCATGCAACCATGACGTTGACATCTTCTAATAATACCTTGCATTTCACCTTGCTTCTACAAGCAATTTATTCCAGTCAAGTTCCAAACAACTCTTCTTTGCAACTTATGCGCGTTTGAAATGCCACTTCAGAACTTACAATGTATGAGAATACATGCTAAAAATGCCTGAAGCCTAATTAATATGGATAGTCTTCTGGAGGAACAGTCAAACCCACTCTGACTTCTTCTCTTGGCGATCTCCACTGCAAGTCGGCATGTCTTCACCAGTTGTCATTTCTACCAGAGTATATTGCCCTACTCTTCTGGTACACACCGCGGTTGCTCCCGAGACATCAATTGCACCTTGAGCGGGTAGTTTGTCCCTTCGTGGAGGGGGCGGAGGTTTGAGACGACTGTGTTTGCTAACTCGGATGGTTTTAGGACTTCCCAAAGGCTCAGTGGGGTACAGTGCCACTTCACTGCCCTCTCTTACCATCCCCTCTTCTTGGGTCGGTTGGTAGCTGCTGCTGTCATCATTGTTGTTGGAACCCATTCCAGAAATTGTAGACATTCCTCCAAGAGGTAAGGGTGGTGGAGGGTCGTCCTCCAAAAGCACAGAAGCAGCTTCATCGCCACTCGAGTTTCTGCTCCCTCTTTTGCTGAACCCTCCCTGTCCCTTCATGTCTTGAGTTGGCGGGACGCTGACATCCACACCTTGATTCCCATTCCCTGACAAGTAATACTGCTCCTCTGCGTACACCTTCTCCACCAGCATCTTTCTTTTGCTTTTTTGTCTTAAGGAGCGCTTGATGGCACAAATAAAGTCACACATGTTTAGCAGCAAGGACAAAGCAGCTGCCCCCAACATGAAGTTCAGCAGGATGGTTTTCTCAGTGGGTCTAGAGATGTAGCAGTCCACTGTGGTTGTGCAGGGTGTCCGTTGACACATGAAGCGTCTGGGGATGTGGAAGCCAAACAAGTAATAATGGGCAGCTCCAAATCCAGCTTCTACAAGTATCCGAAGCAACAGGTGCAAGATGTAGGCCCCTGTGAAGTACTGCACTCGCCCCTTCTCAGCCTTCACAACTGTCTTGGAAAGAGATGCTTTCCCGAACGATTCTTGATAGTCTGCTTTTATGGACTCAGAAGTTCCGCTCTCAGCAGCTATGCTACTCACTTTGTGGATCACATAGATGACAAACATCATGTAGGGAAGGCACAGGGTGGTGAGCTGCACCAGCCAGAATCGGAAAAGGGAAACAGGGGCAAACATGTCATAGCACACATTGGCGCAACCAGGCTGAATGGTGTTACACACAAATCGCTCCTGCTCATCCTGGTAGAGGGGATAACCAGCAAACAGCAAAACAAGGATCCTTAGGAATACCACCAAGATGAGCCATGCTTTCCCTAAAGAAAGAAAGAGAGCAGATCTTAACCTAGTTGACACAGATCCTATTATCAAATAGTGTTCCTTTTTAAATTGGTCTGGAAATTGACTTAATGTCATTCAATTGGACAAATAAACTAGCCAAATGAAAGTTATGTATTGTTTTAGTGTCAATATATAAGATATGCCTCAATGGTTTTAGAGTATATGTAGAAGAACACTCGCAGGATCATATCAATTTTGTGCTTGATATACAGCGGATATTGTTTTTGGTGTTATGGCTTTGCCTAAATAGTTTTTATAATATTACATCTACGTTAAAGCGATTTCGTCATTTTACAGAAATTCAACACATTCTCACCCCAAGGCGTCACCTTTGACCATGCTTCAATATTTGACGTTTTAGGCGCCCTTTAGCATCACTTACATGACGCGATCCTACGGCGTCATCTAACTGACGCTAAAGGAAAGCGTCAGTTAGAGGACGCGGTTAGGTTTAGGTCTGGGGTGGGGGTAGGGTACACGCGATCCTAGGGCGTCATCTAACTGACGCTAAAGGGCGCCTAAAGCGTCAGATATTGAAGCATGGTCAAATGCTTCCCAAGGCGTCAGTTAGGTGACGCCTTGGGGGTGAGAATGGGCTGAGAAATTTTAGAGAAGATTTATACGAGCCCATTCTCATCCCAAGACATCATCTAACTGACGCTTTTGACCATACATCAACATCCGACGTTTTAGGGTACCCTTTAACGTCAGTTAGATGACGCTATCTAATCCTAACTCTACCCCAGACCTAAACCTACCCGCATTATCTAACTGACGCTAAAGGTTAGGATAGCGTCATCTAACTGACATTAAAGGGTACCCTAAAACGTTGGATGTTGACGTATGGTCAAAAGCGTCAGTTGGATGACGTCTTGAGATGAGAATGTGTTGTTTATACAAGTAAATCATCTTGGATTGCACTTTATTTTACTGTACGCACACTTACAGTACTGGTAATATAAGGTAACTACATGGGTTAAAGTTAGGTTTAGGGGTAGATTCAGGGTCAGTTGCTAGTTATTACCCAGGTATAACTATAATAACAACATTGTATGTACATGGGGAAGAGGATTGTATTTTGCATTGTGGATAACCTGTCAAATCTCTGTAAATACTAAACAATGACACAATGGCCCCAAAAAGTATTTGGACAGTTCAGAAGGCATGAATATAAATCCATGAGATACAAAATAAATACATAAACAAACTGCCTACAAATTATCTGTTTTTTTAATTGAAGGAACTGGTGTCAAGGTGATTCTCAGTGGTTTATTACCAACATCCACTAATGTTTGACAACAAGCAAGTATCCAAATACATTATCTTCAAACAGTGAAAATCTATTGTTTTATCATTTAAAATCTAACGAACTTGTGTGCATGTAAAAATGTGTTATCTTCAAAATGACTGGTGGTTCTTGAAACCAAATGCAATAACATTCAGACATCGAAGGTGTGGTTTAAATGAACAAATACTTTCTGGAGCTTCTGTATAAATGCGTTTTTAAATAGTAAAAGTGTACACATACCTGTGAGGGTGATGTTGTGGTTCAGTGTTATGAATATAATGCCTGATGCAGCCAGTTTAGCCATGCCAGCAGATTTAGGCCTCCAAACCCCAAGAGTAGAGCACAGAATATCTCGCTGGTCAAAGAACAGCCCACTTGATTCCACATAAGAAAACGAGTTTTACAGACTGTATTAAACTCAGTTCAAGCAGGAATTCAAAATAAACCCCATTTACAAGCACTCAAAATCCTGTTCAGGTCCTTTTACACCAGGTCCGGTGCAATACGCAACGTCAAGACTCACAAGTAACCTCCAACTTGGCTTCCTATCTTACCTCTTCCTCCGTCCCGACAACAACTGTTCTGAGACAACAGAAGACGAGAGATGTGAGCTCCATTGTGGGGCTATTCTTACCCTCCAAAGGCATGCCGGCACGCCGGCCTTGCTGTGATATTTGGGCTCTTGTTTGTCCTTACAGGAGAATAACTAACTACATCAGGCATCAAATAACACATATTAAATCCTCATGTATGATGGAAAGTATTTCAATGTAGTTCATAGAGGGTCTTGAGAGGCATACTCCTTAGGAAAGACTTTTTGTTTTATTTTGGTGCATTTGTTTGATATTACGACAAAGGCATTTACATAACTGTAGTTTTGTTGGGTGTAGAGATCACGCAGTAAATTTGATGGTTTCACTTTATTTTGATGGTATCTTTAAAACATTCTGTCCACTTAATGTAACGCTGAACCTACATGTCTACTAACTCTCAGAGTGTTAGTTGAGTATTGGTAGACTGGTAGGGTTAGAGTTGGAATAAATTGACATGCAAAGTAGTTACTTTGTCAACATAATGTTTTAAAGAGACCATCAAAATAAAGTGTTACCAAATTAATTGGAAAACCTTTACTTTGGAAGCTATGAGGTCCTTTTTGGTTGGCTTCTGTTGGCGATGAGCTTATTATACGTTATTAAAAAGAAGCCCCTCTTTAGCTCTGTCCTTGAGGTGTTTGACATGCCTTGGGATCATAGTAGATCATGATGGAATCTCGAGAAGCTTTTAGACCTCTCCAAATGACCTCTGGATAAGGCACATCTCGACAGCTTTTGAAGGACTTTTGTTCTAATGAATGAGACTTGTAGATACACAAATTACATATTGGCAGCTGCTAGTGAACACTTGGTGTAAAACATGTTTTGGAGGCGTTGAGGGAAGTTGTAGTGGACCCAAGTCTGTCAGTTTATATATAATGTTTTTCATTGACAAGTTTATTAAAGGCTGTTTTGCATCGGGATTTCTTGGGTTCTGCTTAAATATTATTATTAATCTGTCTTGGGGAATCACATAGGGAGATTATTTCTTTTTTTGGAATGTGAATAATTACTCTAGGAGTACAGCAAATTGCATCCTGTTTGAAAAGTGGTAGGCGAACATGAGTTTAATTTTCTCCCTGCATGGAAAATACAATTGAAATCATTCAGCATTTGCAAGTCTAACCAAATTTGTTCTATTCAACACACAAATACATTTTCCACATTTGTGGTGACTGACAATTCAGAAGAGATGACTGTCAATACAGCCTTAAATATTTCAATAATTTCTTCTTTCTGGCCTTTCTGTATCTCTGTAATTGGATAAGCTGACCAGCTCTAGACAAAGGTCCATTTTAAGACAACTAGCAATGGTGTAGTTCACCAGGGACACATTTAGAGGCGTAAAGCCAAAGACTTAGGATGGAAATGAATAGACCATATGCTGAGTACAGAATGACCTGCCTGTATTATAGCTAATACATTATTTTTGGACATTAAACTATTTCTTTCATATAGTTCAGTTAATGCAATGTATGGCTATATGACTGGTTTCTAGGGAAAATACAAAGCTCACGGTGTCCCACAAACGGGATTTATTTCAACAGAGAGCACTGATCCAGACCTGCCTAAAATGCCTTGATTGAAGCCCAGATATTATTTCCGCATATGTTTATGTCACAGTGTGCAATATTAGCACAATGCTAAAAGCATACGAAAGAAGGCCAGGCTTTAGTGAATAGTGTTGTCACCATGTTGTGGAGATGTTGTGCGTTTCGATGTAAAAGCAAAACCAATTTATCCTTCCAAAAACGGATGAAATCAGGAACTGGTTCCAATCGATCTGCATTTTCAGAATCTGACAAGGATCCAGATACGGTAAAACTGATGGAATCATTGTCCATTTGTGTTTACAATTGCTTTTGAAGACTTGAAAGCTGAAGCTTGCGATTATGGTAAGGGGAGTTACATTTCCAACAAACGCTTAAGGTGTTTGGCCAATCACAACGCACTGGGTTATCTGCCCTATCAGAGCATTCTGGGCTTTTTTTTCTTTTTTCGGAAGCAGGGGCTTTGCAAGGGGGTAATCCACCAGCCGGAAACTGAAGCTTCATTTGGTTGCCACCATTGTAGGAGACCAGCCCGTTCTCACCCCAAGGCGTCATTTAACTGACGGTTTTGACCATGCGTCAACATCTGACGCAAGTGGCACCCTTTAGCGTCAATATGAGATGCGCCTCCTAGTGGTCTAACCCTAACCCTTCCCTAGACCTAAACCTACCCGCGTCATCTAACTGACGCTTTTGACCATGCGTCAACATCCGACGCACATGGCACCATTTAACGTCAATATGAGACGTGCCTCCTAGTGGTCTAACCCTAACCCTACCTGAGACCTAAACCTACCCACGTCATCTAACTGACGCTTTTGACCATGCGTCAACATCCGAAGCACATGGCACCATTTAGCGTCAACATGAGACGCGCCTCATGGTGGTCTAACCTTAACCCAGACCTAAACCTACCCACGTCATCTAACTGACACTTTTGACCATGCGTCAACATCCGACACACATGGCGCGCTTTAGCGTCAATAGTGGTCTAACCCTAACCCTACCCCAGACCTAAACCTACCCGCGTCATCTAACTGACGCTAAAGGTTGCCATGTTTGTCGGATTTAGACGCATGGTCAAAAGAGTCAGTTAGATGACGCCCTAGGATGAGAATCCATTGAAGAGACTATCACCTGACCTGCTGTTAGCATTCCATTGACTCCCATTCATTTTGGCGTCACTTTTACAGCGAATAACTTTACCTCTTGCATCCAAAGACTCCATTTTCCCAATATTTATTTTTTTAAGAAACAGGACAATGTATAAAAGGCTCCATTACTTTGTATCTTAGATTATGGCCCCGTAGAAACATTTTTTTTTTTGTAAAAATAGGCCAACGATTGCGTCATAACACGCGACTCTCTGTCGCACAGAAGAGGAATTACCGTATAGACAGGAGAAGCTCATAGGTAAAATCTTTTACTGTCTATGAGGCAATCGGGTGGATATGGAGGCATAAAGTCAAGGGAGAAGCCCATAGATATAGATATAAAAGCAATTGTACAACATATGTCAACAACAGATTTGTTTCAGATTTCAATTCAGATTTGTCTCGGCACAGCAAGTAGAAGGTCAGAATGGTTGCTCACGACACATCTACATCGTCAAACTCAGTTTGAGCCTGCGCAGTACTCTTGGCTATCAGGATCTCAACTTTTTTCGATGCAAATGTTTATTGACTTTTTGTTTGTGCAGAAATGTACATTAAAAACTATCTACCCTAAAAATATTAACTCCCAATATATTTTTTATATATACTGTAGTCCCTAATCCTGCATAATGCAAACGGCTCAATGAAAACACATCAAATCAGTTTTATTGCAACTTTAAAAGTTTATTCTTGTGGCGGTTTCTAAACATTGCTTCTGAACTGGGAGCGTCAGTTAAAATCATAGTCCGAGAACCAAAGGAACGGCATGCAACCATTGTAGCCTCCAGCTCCTGGGCAGATATGCCCGCAGGCGACTGGGTTCACTTAGTTAAACAGAAAGCAGAATGAACTAAGATCATACATAGGAAATAGGATTCAGCCTTTGGCACAATGAAAACAGATACCGAGGAAGGGTTTGACCTTTGGAACAGAAACAAATGACGACAACAATGTATTAGTCATGATAACAGGCATACAACCAGTGACCGAATATAAAATGAAAACACAACTACAGCAGTTTTCTTATTTTCACAGGAAACCATTTATAGTATAAATGCTCTGAACGATCTGAATTTGTAATTTCCTAGAAATTGCAATTAAAACGAGAAGGATTACAGAGAGACAGGTGGAAAGATCAAGAGAGAGGTATTAAATAAGAATCCAAAAAACTCTGCAGAGGTAGAGTTCAGTGCACACGGCTAAAACGCCACTCGCCTCCAGTTTACAACACCTTCTTCAGATCCAACGCTGGACTGCTTGCTCACATGCTCACAGAAAATAAATACAATAATACAATCTTCAAATGCTTTTAATCAGTCTCTCGATTTACGATTCGGCTTTCCTTCCCAAAGACACTTCCCTTGAATGTTTTCCCAAACCTTTTCCAACACTCCTAAATGTGCAGAAGGAGTTTAAAGCGCCGGCATTGACAAAGAACAGATCTTCTTTGAGAAGAACATCCTTCATCTTTAGGAAATAAACCCGCATCTGTGTTTTCACTGTCTTAGTTTCACGATTCGTCCAGAATGTTCGTCACAAGATGTGCAAAAAGTAATTAGACACACACGAGTGCTGAATCTCACGAAACAGTCAAGAACATGTCTGGGTTATATTTCACTTCAAAATCAAAAGAAATTAAAATTATATATTGTATGAATAATATAATTAAAGGGATACTCTACTTTTTTTTGGAAATAGGCTCATTTTACCGCTCCCCCATAGTTAAACAGTTGGGTTTTACCGTTTTTGAATCCATTCAGCCGATTTTCTGATATTTAGAAGAATATCAGTAACCAGACAGTTTCTGGTCCCATTGACTTCCATAGTAGGAAAAAAATATACTATGGAAGTCAGTGAGACCAGAAACTGTCTGGTTTACCGATAATCTTCTAAATATCAGAAAATCGGCTGAATGGATTCAAAAACGGTAAAACCAAACTGTTTAACTCTGGGGGAGTGGTAAAATGAGCCTATTTCCAAAAAAAAAGTGGAGTATCCCTTTAAGCCTATTAACCACATTTCCCCCCAAAAAAATGTTAATTCGTATGGAAACTTGTTTACGTCA